TGTGACATGGCAGTAAGGCAATAATAAATGTCCTTATTAATAAATTTAAAGAATGATATCAAAATGAGGGTTTAAAGAGACCATAATTTTAAAGTTGACATGAAGATAAACAGTATTTTGAGACATCTGCAGCCACCCTAACGAGAAGTGAAGAGCTTTGATTTTTGCTAGGAGAAAACAGAGGCAGTGATGGTGCTACTGCAGTCTATGGCCTCTGTTCATATCAGATAGAAAGAGAAAACCAAGTGGCAATTGATTTCCTGTCCCATTTATTTCACAGATCCTGGTTAGAAACCCTACCTTTAACCTCTCCATGCCCCAGTATTCTCCTTCATAAAATGGGCTTCCTGATCCCTACCTCACAGCCTTAGTGTGAGGAACATATGAGATGACAGAGGTAGAAGCATTTGTGTTGTTGGGAGTGGGGGGCACTTAACTGTGACGATTTATTAGCTTGTTTCCTTTTTAAATATAACTTCAACTTTTATTTTAGATTCTGGGGGTATATGTGCAGGTTTTTTACATGGGTATATTGAGTGACACTGGGATTTGGGATCCAAATGATCCCATCACACAGGTGGTAAGCATAGTATCAAATAGGTCATTCTTCAACCCTTGCCTCCCTCCCGCTCTCCCCTATCTAGTAGTCCCCATTGTCTATTGTTTCTGTCTGTACGTCTGTCTGTACCCACTTATAAGCTCCCACTTATAAATGAAAACATGTGGTATTTGGTTTTCTGATTCTATGTTAATTCACTTAGAATAATGGCCTCCAGCTGCATCCATGTTGCTACAAAGGACGTGATTTCATTCTTTTTTACAGCTGCATAATATTTCATGGTGTATATGTACCACATTTTCCTTCTGTTTTTTGAGGTTTTTTTTTTAAAGACAGGTTCTCGCTTTCTCACCTAAGCTGGAGTGCAGTGGTACAATCATGGCTTCCTGCAGCCTTGACCTCCCCAACTCAAGCGATCCTCCTGCCTTAGCCCTGAGAGTAGCTAGGACTACAGGCACACACCACCATGCCTGGCTAATTTTTAAATGTTTTTGTAGACATGGGGTCTTGCTATGTTGCCCAGGCTGGTCTCAAACTCCTGGGCTCAAGCTGTCCTTCCACCTTGGCTTCCCAAAGTGCTGGGATTATAGGTGTGAGCCTCTGTACCTGGCCTGTACCACATTTTCTTTATCTAATCCACCACTGATGGCCACCTAGGTTGATTCCATGTCTTTGCCATTGTGAATAATGCTGCAGTGAACATACAGGTGCATGTGTCTTTTTGGTAGGACGACTTAGTTTTCCCTTTGGGTATATAGCCAGGAATAGGATGGCTGGGTTGAATAATAGTTCTGTTTTAAGTTCTTTGAGAAATCTCCATACTGCTTTCTACAGTGGCTGAACAATTAGCTTCTTTCTTATTCTTGGTTATGAAAACCTAATGGCACCAAGACAGACAAGGTGACATGAGAGAAGAAAGCCTCTATCTTTCTCGGGACATTGGCTCCAGCCTGTCCACCAGCTTCAGCAGCTTGTCTCTGCTTCCCCCCACAGCACCCAGGGAAGTACTGGTTCCTGCCCTCAGTTCCTTCCTGCTCCATCTTCAACCAAGCTGCCATGCCTGGTGGGTACAAAGGGGAGTGTGGGGACGATGTGGATCCTATGCCTTTCCTGGCACCTCCCGAGAAGGAGAGGATTGAAGCCATGAACAAGCCCTATGACATTAAGAGGTCCTGCTGGGTCAAAGATGAGAAGGAAGGCTTCGTCGCTGGGGAGATCCAGTCTGAACAGGGTGACCAAGTCACCGTGAAGACAATCACCAACCAGGTGAGTGGGTCTCGATCTCCAGGATGAAACCAAGTGGCAGGCACCCAGGCCTTTTCTAGGCATTCTCCTGCCCAGAAGGCAGGGTGGCAGAAAGAGCAGGTGCCTCCAAGTCCTGTGTGCTGGGGTCAAATCCAGACTCGCCTACACTCAAGCTGTGCTGTCCTGGGCAAGATGCATTCCCTCTCTGAGCTATATCACAATAGAGATTCCGAGACAGGACACATGAAAGCACTTCATAGACTCTAAAGCAGTACTGTGCATAAGGGATGATCATGAGAGTTACTTACCTTTGATGTCTCAAACGGCTCTCAAGTGGAAGCTATTTTCTAAGCATGAGAGTGAGCATGTCACTCATGATCATGTCACTGTGTGCCATGGCCCCTGGTGGCATGAGGGGCATGAGAGAGGGTACAGAACACCCTGGCTCACTGGCTGAGCTCTTCAGCTGCATGAAGAACAGATGGTGGTTCCTAGGTCCCTTGGAGCATGGCGGTGGTGTGCTGGATGCGATGGCTTGTGATGGCTTTTAATGGGTTGCAAAGACCCAACCTTGCTTGTGATGGCTTGCAGGGACCCACCTAGCTTACTATGGCTAGCAAGGACCCAACCTGGCTTCTCTTGGATTGCAGGGATCCAACCTGGCTTGTGATGGTTTGCAAGGACCCCAACACTAAACAATGAGGGACTTTACA